GACAATGACAAGAAGACCAAGGTGCGGATTCTTTCGGTCTCCGGTGTTTTTTCTTCTTTTTTTTTCAATATACGAGAAGGTCGAAGAAATCGACAAGTTGTAGATGTCGGGGGACCTAGCGATGCGGACGCGGCATCGCCTCTGACGTCTCGTTTGATTTCAGCCTGTGAAACCGACAGCAGTCAGGCCGCTACTGAATACGCAAGCGAGCATTCCAACCACGGGAAGCACTGCCACCATAAAATCGAACATGTTATCGAGCAGCACTCCAAGCAAAACCATTCCCATGACACCTAGCCATAGCTCGCCTAGTTCTACAAGCAATCACATTGCCACGACTAACGCCGGCAATTTCGCCACCGTAGCTGCCTCGCACAGCAATTCGCAAGCCATCCATTCTACCTCCAACAAAACATCCAGTAAGACGATTCACCTTTTTTTCTTCCCATACACGACCATTTGTGCTCGTGGATACTGTTGTAAGGGTTAATTCGCGCCCTCATAAATTAAATGCCTTTCTCTCTCTCTTTCTCGTAGCTCACAACAGCGAGAATAATATCTTGTCATCGTCATCCACGTCCAACGTTACGTCGAACGCGCCGCAAACGGTTGCGCAACAGCACAATAATAATCCAGCGCCGGCACAGACGACGCACGTGTTGCACAGCCAACAGAGTCAGAATCACAACAGCGAAACGGAAATGACCACGCCGGTGCCGCCATCCTCGTCGCCGCAGTCGTCGGTCAGCAGTAGATCCTCGCCGATGCCCGCAAACTCCTGCTCGCCAGCGCCGTCCACTGCCAATGGTCTCATCCCTAAGCTTCCCGACGGAAGCATGTCCTCTCTAAAGTCCATTGCCCAACAAGTAATTGTCCGAGCAGGTCTCGAGATACCACCCTCCGAGCCGAATAGAAACATCTTTGACAGTGCCAAGACGAGCAACAGCAGCAACAGCAACGCCACGTCAGAAGCACACATTCCTCCGTTACTCGGCGTCGCGCCGTTAGGACCCGTGCCACTACAAAAGGAACACCAGCTGCAGTTCCAAATGATGGAAGCTGCCTACTACCACATGCCACATCCGTCTGACTCGGAAAGATTACGCTCGTATTTACCGAGAAACATGTGCACCACGCCACCCTATTATCAGCAGGTACATTTCCCTAAGCGCTTTACGAGCCGACGCTGAGGCCTAATCTACAATGCGCTCTTTACGTCTAGAAACATTCTACTTTATGTAAACCAAAACTTAAAGAATTTGTCGGCAATGTACGATCGTACGGTGTATAATACTAGCTACGCTTATATCGTGTCTCGTGATACAATTTACCAACTCGCACAAATTTCTACTTACTACAAGGTAGAGTGTTTCGAGACGCAAAAGGCACATTGTAGATTAGGATACCATTACAAATGTTTTAAGGGTGTTGATTGACTGCGGAATAGAACATTTCTAGATAAAGAGGAAAGCCCCCTATTATGAGATTATTGGCTTCTAGTATGATATAGCGGAGTTAAATTAATAGACATCGTCTGTTGGTTCCACGATGAATTTACTGTCCTTGGAGTGAAGTTTGTTTAGTGGAAAATTGATTGCTAAATCGTGTAATCGTGGCGCAAAAAGATTTGCGATTGAATTTAGACGTTGAAAATCTACTATCTCGTATTAGAGGACTTCTCTGTACCCGAGAACTTTTCTATCCGTTCGCTCTCCGCACGAGCAACCGCAAATAGATGCTGCTAACGCACGCACGTGCTTCAGGTTCAGCTTCCCCATTCGGACACTGTAGAGTTCTTCCAACGTCTTTCTACGGAAACACTGTTCTTCATATTTTATTATATGGAGGGTTCTAAAGGGCAGTATCTAGCAGCAAAGGCATTGAAGAAACAAAGTTGGAGGTTTCACACTAAGTATATGATGTGGTTCCAAAGGCATGAAGAACCGAAAGTTATTAACGAGGAATACGAGCAGGTTAGTGCAGCCTTTATTTCTTTTACTTCTATTTTTACGGAAGAGAGGGACGCTTTTGTCCTCTGGAGGAATTGCCGCGGATCAGAGAGTAAACTGATCATGTAGCAGCCCATTATCCTGGACGTGATGTCTGGCGACGTTCTATAAGAGTCACTTGCGTTTCAGGGAACGTACATCTATTTTGACTACGAAAAGTGGGGGCAGAGGAAAAAAGAAGGCTTTACTTTCGAATACAAGTACTTAGAGGACAGAGACCTGAACTAACAGTTCTGTCGTTCGTTGAGTCTTCGAAATGCGCCGTTTCTGTACCGGTATTGTGTTATCTGAACTTTCGCGAAAGTTCTGTTCGGTATAAAATCGGTAGGATCCAATACAAAAGAAAAAAAAAGGAAACTAATCAGTTTAAACTGAAGAACAAATTTGTGCATAAAAGGGCAATGAAAAGCATTTTATTACATTTCGATGCTGCGACGACGAAATCTTTCTTAATCTTTTTTTTCGACGAAAGATGTAGATGAGGCGAAAAAAGAGTGAAAAAAGAAACAGAAAGATTGTGTGTGAAGTCGTAATTATTGTAAATGGTAACGAGATGAAGCAATGGCAGAGAAATTGGAGAAAGGGCGAAGGAAGGAGCACTGCAGAAACGTGTGGGATGATTCAGTGTGATAACAAGAGAGAGAGAGAGAGAGAGAGAGAGAGAGTGTGTATGAAAGAAAGGGAGCGAGAAAGAGAGGGAGAGAAAGGAGATGATATACTTGCTGGCGACTGACTTGTAATACCAGTACAAATATGCGTGCGGCCCGTCTGCCGTCTGGCGGTAAGGTGGAGGGCGCTCATGCTATGGTACGTCTTAATGTTAGATTATAAGTAGCCTTTTTGTATAAAGTGTATCGAGGTATAAAACCCTTAAATTGAATTAATGTACAGAATGTGTAGAAATAGTGAATAATAATATTATGGAATATATTTTATTTCTCATTTGAATGAAACCTAAGTTGTTTCGATTTTTGTCACGCACTAGCACATCATCTCTCGACCTACGTTTGGAAATGAAAAGAAAAAGAACATTCCATCCATCGTGACTAGACACCGCTTTCGAAATAGGTTACTTATATGCGTTCTAACGATTCATAAGGCCGGGGCTCGTCGTCGAAGTTTAAGATTGTACCGCATATTATTAATAGTAGCGTGCTAGGCTAAGCTTCTCATGCTACACACTTTGCAATCCTCAGATTATGATACTTTACAAGCATTTCAACCTTACTAACTCGTCGAGTAACGTTAATCGCTGTCGATATGCATATGCGTATCTGTCTTGTCGAGAATCACCGAGAGGAGTCGTGTGACTGTGCGAATTTATTTATATTATAAATCGTCAGTATTACCGCGATAATGCTAGCGCGCGCATTAACGTCCGAATAAATTGCTGATACATTGTTACAAAGCTTTGTTGCAAAACGAGATCGAGTAACGTCACGATTGTTCCGTGATCTGCCAAACGAGAGGATGAAAAATGTTCCACGGTATCCAATCTTATACCTTCAAGTTACAGAGTGGCAGATAATAGCAGTTATCTTTTTCAAAAATGTTAAAATACTTCTCAATTATATGCACAGATCATTAATAGGCATTATTGACCGTGTTGTGAAGACAGTATCGGCATTTAAGATAAATAATTTCACACAGGATCGCAGATCTCAAAGCGACTCCTCTTTTATGAGCGCGTCGTTCATTATCGCAAGAGCCTTCGACAACGAGATTAGATATACATCCCCCTTCCCTAGTAATAAAAGCTCAGTTGGAGATTCTCATACAATTGTTTAGCGGGATAGAGACGAAATTTAATTACCGAATAAAGCGTAGCGTATACATGTACTCTAAGCAGATACTCTTGTTGCAGAGGTTGCGGCGATCGATATTATTTGCAAGACGGAATCGCACGATTACGCATTTTTTAAATTTTACTTTTAGATAATCGAGAAGAGGCTCCAAAAGATTATACATCTGTAAAAGAGCAGCAGTAAACGTTAGCGGCGAATATTTGCAAGATTTGCAGCATACGATTGTAGGAGTTCTCCTGAAATTGGCACAATTTCCGACCGCGTCGAAACGTCGTGTGCGATGCTGACGATTTTACCGAGTACTCGCTCGCACACAAAATGTGTTTGTTAACAAGCTTGCATCGCATTGATAACAAAAGTTTAAATGCGTGATGGGTACCGCAGTTTTGAAATTGCAGCATTTTAATTAATGCCTTTTGCAACGGCAAAACAACAATGGCAGAGCACCGAAAATTATTTTCCAATGCACGTTTATATTTGTTATTCTGCGCGACACGCGATTATGTGCGCCGCTAAGCGGTTTGAAAAAGAAAGAGAAACATCGCGGAAAATGATGGGGATCTGTTGCCACTTTATACAATTAATAATCTAGCGATTTTAGAGGATGCATCGTAGTTGTAAATTCGAAGGGACACTTATCGTGTTTCTTATACCGTATTTTGTACTACAAAAACTTGTACAATGGATTACTGATTTTCTATAGAGGTTTGATGAAAACAATCAATTATCGATTTTACAGTAGTGTAAAAGCTGTATATAACGATCGTTATAACATTTTTCTGCTGTAGGGACGAACGTGCTTTCCTTTTGTCTGCATTTCTTCTCGTAAACGGGATATTCTGCTTATGTGATAACACTCAAATAGAAGCGTGCAAGTGAAAGAAGACCACCGTTTGTTATATAATAACAAATTCTGTCTTCGATGCTTCGAATTAATTTCCCCCTAACGCGTTCATCGCAAACGATAAAGAAATTGTGATTTTACTTAATAATATATTTTATTGTGATTATTTGAGTGATATTTAATACCATACTGCTTTGTGCGAAGACTTCAAGTCGTTAAAATACAGTACTAATTTCTTCAATATAACAATGTTTGCCTTATTGCTGAGTCTTGATTATATTTCAGGTCTTGCAGGAGCATCTCCGTTCCATTCGCTAATCCAGTTGAGCTTGCATCAGACTGTGCGTGATATGTAATTCATAGTTTGCTGTTCGCGAACGGCACGAGTAAACAAATTCGTCAAGTTCATCGTTTACTGAACTAATCAACTTGCTAGCGGAGCGGTTTTTTTTTCACACAAAATCTGAGCGCGAATCACGTCACGAGTCAGTTAATTCGTTTATAGAACTACTCTGTGCATTAAAATTTGTACTTATTTCTATGTGTATTGGAAAGATATTATGATAATTAACGTAATTGCTTGGAAAGTTGATTACATTATTTACAATAATGGATTTTCCACTGTAGTAATTGAAACAAACTTTCCATAATGGGGTAAAAATCTACGCGAGTAGATAATCGCACATTTATAACGTGCGCTTATAAAAGAACTGTGTAATTGTGAAATTCTAAGAATAGAGATTTCAAGAGTAGAAAAACAAAATTACCGCCGAATTACAAATCGTAAAGAAATCATAAATCACGAAGGTCCACATTGGAGAACGACGGATTTTCAAAAAACTTTTACGAATAGCGAATTGTAAATCACACATATCCTGATGTTAGCTTTAGAGTGGCATAATATTTCTTGACACGAGTTCAGAATCTAATCATATAATACATAAAACGACACACAATGCGCTACGAGTACGAGAAGATGTACGTATGAGCTACACAAAAAATATTTTTTTATTTGCAAGATAGAAGTACGAAAGATCATGGAATTTTTGCTTTCTATTAAATTGCATTTATATTAACAAATTCAGTCTTGAATTAATAAGATTCTTATGTGCACTTTTGCGAACTACAATTTAGTATGTCATTCACATTCGTGTAACTCGATTCAAGGTTTGGCACACAGCATCCAACAAAGTACGTGATCGCACAGCATCCATCGATACGACAGCGAAGTATCAACTTTTGCTGAGACGCTACAAATCCACCCGAGTAATATTAAAATATTTGTAACAAAGTGCTCGGGTAATTTTAAATCGTGCTAGTTGTAAAAAAAAGTGATTTTATTACATCGAAATTAATTGCAATTCACGTTAACAATATTATCATCACTTCCTTTTGCTCTTTACTTTCATTCTTTTTCTCACTCCAAGAGACTGTTCTGTGTCATCGTCTTCGTTATTACCACCGCGTTTCCGCTTGCCCGACTTTCTCTTCGATGTTTTTGATGTCCTGGGGTGTTACAATAACGTTTATATGTAATCGTCTACGTCTCTTATCAAATCGCCAGGGTTGGTAAGTTACCTTTTTTTTAAACTTAATTAAGCTAAGTTAAAGTTAAGTCTTGAAAATTTAACTTAGCTAAGATACAAGTTAATGACAATAATTGAATTAAAAGTTAAGTTAATAAAAAGAAATTAAAAAGTTAAATTTGTTTTATTTTAACATATAATTTCAGAGACTCGCGATCACGTAAATTGCGTTAATTTCTTAACACGACCAGTGTTTGGACAACCAATCATTATACGGAATATGGCCCGTGTTATGGGAACAAATTCACGTGAGTTCAAGAATCAAAGTCTCATATAATGGCTGTGTTCCAAAAATCACTACCAGCGCTGAAGATCTATGGTGCACGTAGATTTTTATATTCACGTGAAGCTTTTAATTTCTCATGTTTCCACTCTGGGGAAAAAATTACACGATCGCCACCCTGGTCTCTATCTCTAGTCTTCATAGTTCATGGTCGTGTTGAGGTACTGTAGTTCGTTAAGCGGACGTTTCAAAACGACTGGAAAGGACAGATGGAGGGTACGCCGGGAAAGAGAGCTCGAATCTCTCAGGAGGAAGATCCTGGTGTGTCCAGAAGTGACGACGTGATGCAAAGTGACGAGAATACGTTGAGCCTGTGTCCCAGTCTAAACCAAGAATCTCTGAGAAGTATCTTTCAATATTTAAATGGCAGAGAGCTAGGGAATGTCGCGATGATGTGCAGGTACAACGTTTCTAATTCATTAGTGATCCGCGTTCGATTTAATCATAATCACTTATCATATGCAGACGGTATAGTTATAGCTTTTATATCACGTTTATGTGAACAAACATTGACAAGATTTTATGTACAGACCAATTATTTCTCTGTGACGTTTCTTGTCATTTCTTTAAAAGCTACACGAAAGTCTAATTAAGTCTTGTATTTTATCAGATCTTCACACTATAAGCTCTGTAACTCAGCCGCTCTTTCTTTTTTCTTTTTAACTCTTTTGCGTTTTCTTCTTTTCACTCTTCGCTCTTCTCTCTTGCTCTACAGTGGCAGTACATAGTTTATAGAGATAGAACTTTACCGAGCATTTTTACAGCATATACTTCTGCTAATAATATCTAACAATATTTATTTCGCTGTACGAATGAAGAGTACATGACAATGTAAGCTGAATGCAGCATAAATTCAAGTACGAAATTGTCGTTTTCAGTTCCTGGTTGGAAGCTGCATACAATGAAATAAATACGAGGGGTCCTCACTTTGCAAAGGCACGCATCGATAGTGTTAAAATTTTAACTGAAATCTACGAAATGAGAATTAAACCATCGGTAGGATTCTGTTTTTTTTGTACATACGATTTTTCAGTCATTAATACTGAACCAGGTATATGTTTTATTACTTTCTTAACTATATTTTCTTTAGTAAATAGATGCAAATTTTGGAGTTTTATAAAAGTAAATTCTAAGAAAATTTATTGGCCTTTCGTATAAGAGTACATTTTAATAATAAAAAAAACGCCCGTGCGCGTGTGTCTAAAATTAAATAAATAAAGAACAAGTCTTTATATTTTGAATGTTTTATTGCTGTCTCAGTCAGCCAAACCGCTTGTTTACTGTACAACAAATTTTGCTAAACGCTTGTTAAAAGTTTGCAAGCAAAAAGGTGTGAAATATGTGGTGCAAATGTTAGGTTTGTTCGTGCTTGAAATTCCCCCCAAAATTCCGGCGCTTTAAAATGAGATAAATGTAGTAACATACTGGAGAGGAAGGGATCGAAGATTTCAAATGCAACAAGTGCAAGCAACACGAACACACCTTCCGTTGTACCAGACGGTGTCGCGAAATTGTCAGCAGAAATGTAATAAAATCCGTTAATATACCGTGACAGCAAATTGTTGCCAAATACCGAAAGAAAAGCTTGATGACAATTTGCAAGCTTTGCTCGGAATTTGACGACAATTTAAGTTACCATCTTTGCGCAAAGCTTGCTGGGTTTTTGCTGTCGCATTATGTCCGCGAGTTTTGCCAAAGAAATACGAGTTGACTGCAGATACAGGTGCTAATAATGTTTGACACCAAGTTCCGAACGAACTTCACGCCATTTTGTAGATAAATTGCTTTACTTTTAATATAAATTCTTTTATTAATTTTTCTATTTAAGTCGAAGAATAATGTGGGATTATCGATGCAATAATATAGGATCATTCTTTTATTCCTTTTTAAGATGATATGAAAGATGTGTTACCTAAACACTGCCTGGTTACGTGGCTCCTTTGTGAAAGTGTTATGATAAGTAATTACAACCTACTGTATTTATCAAATAAAGAAATACTATGTACATTTTTACCAGAAAACCCGAATGTGACAGTGAAATTATTTTCACTGATAAACTATTGCAACATAAAAATAACAGTTGACTATCAGAATATAATTAGTACAATTGGTAATTGTAAGACATCTGTGTCAAGTCAGGGGACAGAAAATAAAACGTCTACATGTTTTATGTTATTCTGTAAACATAACGGCCTCCTCACAGCAAAACGTTGGGCCTCAGTCATGCAAGAAAGGTATAACTTACATTTACTCCGAGCGATAATACATATCCAAGTTTATTATTCGGGTAGGTCCAACCGTTGTACAACAATGGCTAACATTTGATAATACCTGTTTATTTCTCTTTGCATATATGCAGCACAGAAGCCGAAATTGATTCTGTATGGGGCGGTGTGTTCGATAAAGTTTTGTATAATACAAATATGACGGTTGACGCAGGTTGCGTCGCTGTTGTGATTACTGGTTCTGTACAGACGTGGTCCACGATTTTGGAGAAGGAATGTAATACAGAAGAGCAGATCTGGGCGAGATTGATGTTATTTAAAGACAAAGTAAAGTTAAAAAAACATTCCGTGGGATTCGTATACAGGTCCAGGATTCGCGAAAAACGCCTGCTCCATGAATCTTACTTAATAGTAAGGATATGCGAAAGATTGTTCCCCAAGGTACCCATAGTAGGTTGCACTGGTATTGGCGAATTTGGAAAAACTACCGGCGATGAAGTAAACGAAGAAAGTGAGCAATCTTTTCTTACCGTAATGAAAGTATCGTTTCCTGATAGAATGATATACCTACAGTTTTCTCCTTATTTTAGAAAATGGCAAAGAGGATCACAAATGTACAATTTCTTGGTATAATGAACACTCTATTGTGATTTTGATACTTACATATAGTTGACGCTTTGCGAGAGGATATGCGTGAATGCTGCGTGAAACATTTTATCTCGTGCACTGCTAGTTCTAGATTTTGTTCCGATCCTCTTCTTTGTTAAAAAGTCATGGAAAAAAGCTCAGATGTTCACAGAAAAAAAAGTGAATGTCTTAACAATAACTCCGTTTTTTTTATTCTTAGATGTAATTTGCGAACGAGTTTTGTACGAGTCTTAAAGTAATTCTACTGAAAAATTAGAAAAATGATAATTTATGTTAATATATTACGTTTTGCACTGCATATGTTTTCCATTTCATTTTCTGCAGCGCTTGTTCCAAATAATTTATCATACTCGAGCAAATTATATCGAGCAAGTAATCGTTCATCGAGTGTTGTCTACAATGTTTGAAACACGTGCGGAGCCGTTACTACCGGTAAGATACACCAAGGCTCGATCATGAATCTTTATGAATTTTAAATTCCTCAATGAAATTTTTCACTTTTCAACTTCACAACGATTTTACGCTGGCGGAAAGAATTCGTTACCGAGCCTACGGTGCGAAGGGTAGAGTCGAAGTAACCTTTGTTCTTCGATATTCTGTGTACTTTGAAAGTTGCCGCGGTCGTCCTCCTTTCACGAGGTTCAAAATAATTCGTCCGTTGCGATTGGTCAAATTTCAATCTAAATTCTATCTCGGTCCGTAGTTCGATTTCAGACTCTGCGCACAATAAAGAAAATACAATTAAGCAAATGTTAGAAGAGAGAAAAAGTGTAACGCACAAAAAGAATAAAATATAAACTTAGTCGTGTCACACAGCCTATCCAAAGTATTTATATCTCAGCTTATAAATTTAAATAACATGGATTTAACATCCATTCCTAATATTTCCTTTGTTATGCTTTAGAGCGAAAAGGGTATTGCAGGCGACAAGGGAGGTAGTAAACTTTTGGTTACGCCACTTTGAACCCAACTTACCAAACTAAAATATGTAACTGCAGATTCCGACATACATACGAATTTAATTGATAAAAGGTATAGAGTATAACTTAATACACGTTGATTTGTTTGTTACATAAACATTAGTAGTTTAAATATTTACAAGTATCTGCTCAAAGTGCAGGGCAGAACGACATTTGGTCTAATCATTCACGCGTTCTGTCAACATCCGAATTCGATTCGATCAAATATTTCACAACGTAACTATTTACACGACTGTGTTTGTCAGATATCCAACATCCAATATGCATACTTCAATAGACTAAATAAAATTCTAGATGTAAGAAAATAGAGCAAATTATGAAATGTACTGGCTGTCGTTTAATCCAAACCTTCTTTCTTCTCCTTGATTGCCTCCTGGAACACAGATTGTTCTCGGTTATGCGTATACATAGACTCTATAGATTTGTTTTCTGTTCCTACACTGGTGAACTAGTGCAGCAAGCTAGAAGGAGAAAATACATGCTCGTCTTACTCTAATTTATTGCACTAGTTCACCAGTGCAGCAACAGAAAACGAACCCAATATCCTGCGTTGAAAATACGTACTTTGAAACGTTCCTCGAACAACGAGAGCTCCGCGATCAAATCGGTGATGGCGTGCATAAATGCCTCGTGTGGAGTATAATCGGACGTTGTCTGTATTCTAATGACGAATTTATGTTCCAGGGGATGGGGGACCTTGTAGCCGGCGAATAACACTTGAGGATCCTTCAACAATTGGCTGTGGAGTCGAAAGAAATCGATGAAATCACTTTGCTACCCGAAAGAGGACCGAAGTAACGCACATGTACGTTTACCCACTTGCGAATCATGTTTCCCAGCGTGTGATCCTCCTTGTTGATCGTAAAGATCGCGGCGTTCGGCACTTTGGTGTCCTGCTCCTTTATTATTCTACAAAACAGGCGTTCATTCACGCAAGTGCAACTTTAAGATTCCAAAACGAGGTTAGGCTACGCATAAATATTGAGGATATCGGCATACTTTTTCTCTCCCTCGTACAACAAGAATGACTCGAAGGTGGGCGGTGCGTTCATCTTGGCCCGTCAATTGTTAACAACGTTCTCGAATTAAGTAGTCGCCACTGAAACGCCGGTAATAATTCGCCAAGAGCGCTGACAGAAACGTCGTCGTGATCGCCGTTGACATACCGTTGCCGCCGCCGCCGCCGCGCTGTTGCGAGTCGACAATCGATTGCGATAAATCGATAGCCGACGAATTCGCTATGACGTCACTCGAACGAGTTCAAATATTTGTCAGTGCGCCTATCGCCCGATGATCCGCCAATTGAAAAAGGGGTGGGGAAACGTGACCAAACAACGACAAGAATAAAGGGCGAAATAGGTGAGGTATACGTGATATTTTCCAATGACTCGTAGGCTTTTCGTGAATGCCGCAATGGTTCCGTCAGGCCCAAATGAGGAAAGCTCGTCTCACATTCCAGGAGGTGTCCATCGTCGAAAGAAACAAAGAAAAACAGGCGGAAGAAAGGGGGATGAAAGAGAGGGAGAAAAGCACGCATTATAGGCTTGTGTAAGAGGCAAAGGATAAATTTTGATGACGAAAACTGTTAGGTAGACTAGATTATAGCGACATGAGCCAACAAGCGTATTTTGAACAGGTGACATTAGCAAGGGGACATGCGAAAAATAGAAATAATAAGAAATGTGAGACAATGACGGGCGAAAAGCCGGAGAGGATGAGGAGTTCGTTGCGAGCCGTTATAGAGAACAGTAGAGAAATTGAGTGTTTCAAGAGCGAGAAGGCAAGTGACTGCCTGTGAATTGGTAGAGAGAATATCTGGCGAGGGACTGCCAGTGTACTAGTGGAACTGTAATATATTATATTCTTAAATTTTGTGTGCTTGGGGCCATTTGTTCATTAAATTATTAAATTGTTTATTTTACGCCCTTTATTTCTATTAAAATCCTACATATCTTACACTTGTTTTCTATTGCTGCGCTGGTGAACTAGTGCAGTAAGCTAGAATGAGAAAAAATAAACTTGTCTTGCTCTAACTTGTTGCACCAAGTTCGCCAGTGTAGCAACAGAAAACAAGCCTTAAGCGGGGAGCATACGCACTTTTGCATAAGTGCATTATAAGCATATGTATAACGAATTTGATTGGTCCATTTCCTTGTGCATTTGCTCATAGACCAATCAAATTCGTCATGCGTATGCTTGTGCACTTAGGCAAAAGTGCGTGCGCTACCCGCTTTACGACACACTTTGAAGTAAACCGCAAAACTCTCTTTCCCCTCATCCTCCGGTCTTTCGTCTCTCTCGAACGCCGGGGCCGAGGTGCCGCGCTTGGTATTAATCGCTGCTTGCGCCGCCGCGCGGCAGGGTGCGCTGCGAGCGCTGGTTTTTATCCGCCCTTTGCATTTCCCACGCCGCGCCCACCCAAGGCGCGAGATAGGCGGCTGGTGGTAGGAGCGCGGCGCGTCAGTGACGCGGCGTCGTTGCGCGTCGCTCTCTCGGCGACTCTTCCGCGAGCCGTCTCTGCCGAGCCGTGTACCGCCGGGGCCGCCGTACCGCAAAGTAGTTGTCAAAATGGCGGCGTGCGAGGGCTCCGTGAGCGTGAATCCGAATTGCGAGGTGGTGCGCGGGCAAACGTTCGAGGTCGGGCCGCGCTACACGAATCTGTCATACATGGGCGAGGGCGCCTACGGCATGGTCGTGTAAGTGTTCACTGTGTCGCGGCCGCACGGCCGGCGGCTGCTCGATCGCCAGGTCGATCGCCGGCCGATCCTCGACTGTCGTCGTTGTCGTCGTCGTCGTCGTCGTCGTTGGCGTCGTCGTCGTCGGCTGACAGGTCGACTGTGATAAACATCGCGAGCGGCGACGCGGGACGCTGCGATCCGGTGCGACTCGCGTGCCTCGCGATCGCGCGGCGATCGCCGAGAATAATCGAGGCTCGTCCGAGAGACACGGCCCCGCGCGCTTCCGGACAAAAGCCGCCGGGATCGCCGTACGCGGACGTCCGCGCGCCGCTCGTACACGACACGCACGCACACATGCACACGCACGCACGCACGCACACGTATGCATGCATTCACACGTCATAGTTATACGTCACTTTCAAATGCCCGTCACGCCCCTTTCACCGTATTTTCCCCATTCACGTCTTTTCTCCGCTTCCTTATTCGCTCCCTTTCTCTCTCCCTCCCTCCCCCCTCTCTCTCTCTCCTCTCTTTTCCGTTGTCCTCGTCTCTTGTCTTTTATCCGCCTGGCGTCCATTCATGCGTCACGCCAGCAAAACGAGATTACGCCTCACGATTTACCAATCTTATCGTTTTTATCAAACGCGTTATTTAATATGTGCGATTTACGCGGAAGGTGCGATGTTTCGCGCGCGGCGCGGGATTATCTGCGCGTTATCTCACTCGCGTTTGCACCGCCTATTGTATTATTGTATCGTTGTATTGTAACAGCCTCCCCACGCGAGCGCGGGGCCTACGCCGGTGACGGGGAGCGGGAGGCGGCGGAGCCGATGTCTTTGCGCGCGAAAAGATATTTCGGAGCGTTTTCCCCACTCGCGCGATAAACGCGCCCAACGCTCTCGCGGATTCTGTGACGGTAGATTCTTTCGAGAAATTCGGAATTGATTTTTCTATAATTACGATGTTGCGTTGATAATATTGATGTCGAATAAAAATATCGGCGCCCCGACTTACGTACACGACTGAAAGTAAAGGGCTTTCCTTCTTGCGGCTCTCTTTGCCAGCTCTGTCCCGAGCTCCTCTCGTTTTTAATCCCTTTGACTTCGCGAACCTCGCCTCGACGAGACACGCGTACGCGGGACGATTATTTTTTATTCCTTTTATTTATTTTAACGTTACTTATCGGCGGCGACGCATTTCGGAGAAATAACCTTAGCTTATAACGCGAGAAAGAAGAAGAACGTTGCAATATTCCTCAAGTATTCCTGACTCATTTAAGATGTCTTTCGTCTCCGTATCCTATTATCCAGGTAGAACGAAAAAACTTGTAACGACATTGCTTATCGTTTATTCATCGCTCGTAAGTGATGAAGTGACGTCATCGTGAGTTTCCGTTCTATCTGTCAGATAAGATTAATCGGAGATTCGAATTTTAATAGACCGGCCGGTGGTGTCGCGTCGGAGACTCGCTTTTTTTCCCCCAAGTGTAGCCCATTCGACGGTAACTCCCTTGAGACGACGCATCTGAGGCTCGATTCTTCAAGTCGCTCGAAGGAGAGCGAAAATTCCGCCCTTACAGAAAAGTTGCAAGTCGATTGGCTGTTCGCATGGTTTTTAACCAATCGATTTTCAACGTTTTTGCGAGGGCAGCATTTTCGCCTACGCTTCTCTTCCGAGGGAATTCCCGAGTCGAGCCCGAGGGACGAACCGTTGATCAAAATCAATGGTACAAGAAAGCATCTTTCAAAGAAAAGATACGTAATCTTATACGAATGTATAAACTAATCCGTATTTATAACACCCTATGCGGTTTTCTTCTTACGAGAAAGTCTTATACCGCGCGTCCCTCTAGTGAGGAAGTTCCGAACCACTTCACTTTTGTTTACCATGTGATTAGTAAGGTGGATGATAGGGATGTTAAATTTACTATTATTGCGATTGTATTTACTATATAAAAGTAATTAACTAATTTGCTATTCATTACCTGGATATTTTAACAGAATAATAGTTAAAAGCTTATGTTTTATAGTATTTTTTTAAAATTAATTGGCATAACTGTGTCTAGATGGTTGCTATTACTAATATTATAGTAATAATTACTATAAAAATGATATTCCTGCACTGAAAAAAATTTCTGGTTGAATATGGACGAATCAGATAATTCCTTTAGGATTTACCAGAATTCCTTTAGGATTTACCAGAATTTCTGTAGGATTACAGGAATTCTGGTAAATCCTAAAGGAATTCTGGTAAATCCTAAAGGAATTATCTGATTCGTCCATATTCAACCAGAAATTTTTTTCAGTGTGACTATAATTATTTTACTATGCAATTATAGTTTCAAATACTACATATTTTTCAGTGTAATACCCAGTGGGCATTACTTTATCTTATTATCTTATTTATCTTGTTTCATCTTATTTTATCTTATGTTATAATGCTCCAGCAAAGCCTAATGCCGAAAAAATTCCTAGTAATTCCCTGTAACGCCGCAAATCTGTACACCACGAAGCTCTCAGCGGTTTACCCCTCGATCGAGCCCCTGGGCGCGTCGCATCAAGTCGAGCGAATTTCTCTTATCGCCACGGGCTTTTCTGGATTGCGCGTGAACCACATCCTACCGCGACACACCGTGCGAAGACGCGCGTTTCTCTGCAGGGGCTCGATTCTTGTGTTCATTCGAAAGAGGAACGTACGCAGATATTCTGCTCTGACAAAAAAAAAATTGAAAGTCGATCGGCATAAGCCATGCTAATAGCCAATCAACGTGCAACTTTTCTGTAAGAGCAGAATTTTCGCATACGTTTCTCCTTCGAATGAATCCAAGAATCAAGTCTAATAGCAAATTCGGTCGCTTAGTGCGCACTGAGTGCACACTAAGGCTTTATAGTCAGTTCTTATGTTTAACTTTGTCTTAAATACATGTTCAAGGAGTATTTAATAAAAAAAATGACCGGTGTAAACGTTGTACAGGCCATTTTTCTGGATAAAAAAATATCGCAAGAGGTATTTAATATAATTCTTAAATATAAGAATTGACTGTAAACAAGCCTTAGTATGCACTAGTAAAACCAACTAAATTCGCTATTAGATACGCTGCCCGGCGTTAAGTTGCGCCAAGCTTCCCTATAATGGTAGCGGAAAAGATGAACAGCGCGCGTCGGATAAATAGAGCGAGAGAGGCTGCTCCGATCTCCATTCGCCGAAAGGGGATGCGCCCCGGGAAACGTAAATTGAAAGAGAAATTGAAGGATTTGCGCCCCGACGAGCGGATTAGGGCACTCGGTTAGATTTCGTCACGGAATGTTACTGGAAATATGAGAACAGCGGGAAATCTCCCCAGATAGCCAGCTGACGTTATTTGTCATTATTTGCACATGAAAATCCCGGCAAAGTGACACCTCCGGCGTTTTGATGTCAAACTGCTGACAAATAACGTCAGCTGGCTATCTAGGTTATTTATATATAATTTTATTTTATTTAATTTTATACTTGGGGAGATACACGTATCGAGCCACGAGGACGTCGCGTATTTTTGTTTCACGCGCCTTCCAGTGCGATGGCGTTAATTGTTTCTTGTTATTTATACACCTTGACCGAATAATTCCCTAGTAGCACAATATACTGGCGCAATATTGGGAAATAATATAAATCTAGTATTCCCAATATTGGTCCAATATTGTAAGATGGGCGCCTTCTCTTATTTAGCCAATATGTCTATTTAGTAATATTGGTCTAATATTGTGTCAATATTAGGCCAATATTCTTATTACGTTGTTAAATATTGACCGATGCACTTTCAATATAAATCTAACATTATATAATTATTACCGTGCAATATTTACATTTATTTCATCGCCAATATTGGCTTCACGTTGGACAATATCGGCCAATGCATTTCTAATATAACCAACATTGAACCAATGTATAGCCAATGTTTAGCCAATGTACTGTGCTACTAGGGTTGTTTCTAGAATGGAGGTGGGCTGGGAGCGGGAATACTTAAAAATCGCGTATCGAAAGTTCTGTATACTGCCGACAATCTGAATCGGCGGGTCGATTTAAAGTCGAAAAATAGACGCGGAAATATCATCATTAAACTGTTTATTGCGGCAAATATTACCACATACCTCAATGGTCGAATTGGTGAGACGCCCGCCTAGAGTGTAGGGAGGTCCAGGTTCAAACCCTTGCTGAGGTAATATTTTTCGCAAATTTCTTTAATTAGAATTTGCCAGTTGTGTCGATTAGTAAGTTGCTACGTTGGTTAATTGCTTCTCTTGTTCAATAAATATATCGCTAATTATACATGTATACACGAAAAATGCTGTTTAATTAAAAAAACTTAAGTTGCTTGAATTAAACGTTAACGTCACGGGTTGCCACAAACATAAATAATTCACTCAATTGTGTCTGCTATGGATTTTAATTTTAAGCATTGAACTAAATATCCGGATTATTAAGACAACTATCTGATGTTTTTTATTCGTTAATACTGATGTTGTTTCAACGATTTTATTTCAGTTACACTGATCTTGTTGGTACGTAATTTTTTTTTCGTGTATACAAAGTAAATAAATTTTATGTGTATATTTTGTACAATCGATCGAGCGAATAAAATACGCGCAAAAAGACTAAGTATGAATGAAAAATGTGTGTGACGGAGAAATAAAAAAACGGTCTTTTTGCGTCTCAAATTCTTCTCTGTATTAAGACGATCGATCGAACGAAAATACGAGTACGTGCAACAAGATTAAATATGGACGAAAAGTGTACACAACGGGGACATAAAAACCGTCTTTTTACGTTTCAAACTCTTCCCCGAGTTCTCTTTGAAAATTTATTTTATCTCAAAATAAGTTGCAGCGCTACACTTGAAAACTCTTTCCGTTTTTACTTGTCGTTTCACTTACTTTTATTAATGGCCTAATTTACACCGATTGTATGATACGCGTATCAAATAGTAAAAACTAGTAAATGAGTTTAGTCATTGGCTGATCGGCTGAGATACACTATTTGATACGCGTATCCCTAATAGCACAATATATTGACGCAATATTGGGAAATAATATAAATCTAGTATTCCCAATATTGATCCAACATTGTAAGATGGCCGCGTTCTCTTGTTTAGCCAATATGTCTATTCAGCAATAAAGGTGTAATATTTGATCAATTTTAGGCCAATATTCTTATTACATTGTTAAATATTGACCGATGCACTTTCAATATAAATCTAATATTATATAATATAATATAATTATTACCGTGCAATATTTACATTTATTCCATCGCCAATATTGGCTTCACGTTGGACAATATCGGCCAATGCATTTCTAATATAACCGATAATGGGTCAATGTTTAGCTAATGTTTAACCAGTGTCGAGGGGTAAACCGCTGAGGGCATTGTGGTGTACAGATTTTCGGCATTACTGGGTATTACTAGACATTTTTGGGGCATTTGTGTGAGCATTAGGCTTTGCTGGGGCATTATAAAGATAAAATAAGATAAAACGGATGCAAACCTGATGATGCAAACTGCAAGGTTTATGAAACGTCGGCACCTCGCTGCAAACGGACGCGGTATCCGTCTGGAAGCCATTACTACTTGTAAGATAAAACAAGATAAAATAAGATAAATAAGACTAAACAACACATGAGAAAACGCCAATGTGGGTCACAAGGAAAGATGTGGGTAGTCCAACTTGCAATTTTTATATTTTTAAAATGTGAATTCGGAAGATAAATAAGACAAAGTAAAATAATAAGATAAAGTAATGCCCACTGGGCATTAGTAGACATTGGTGTAAATGATTTTGATCAGTTTACTCCTCGGCCAATGCACTGTGCTACTAGGGATCAAACGATCGGTGTAAACCAGGCCAATCTGTCGCCCAAGAAGTAAATTTTGGACTCGCGGGAAAAATTGTTACCGAATTACCGAGTCGCGGTAGTAAAAGACGCGAGAGTGTGGAGTTTCTGTTGCAGCACAGAGTTGCGCGTGTACAAAATATTTTGCTCTTGTCCCGACGTTTCTTTTTATTTTCAAACCGAGCATCTCCTTCGACTTTTAAGTATCGCTTCCGCTAAGAACATTTTCTTTTATTCATATGGCCCGGCGTATACCGCGGGATAATTTAAGAATTACGAGACGCCCGGAGCAGCAGCTCGCGAGCAAAGAGATCTCCGCTGAATAATGAACGCGTCTGGGTTTACCTTTGTAATGTCTTCTTGCAGGTCCGCCTACGACAACCTCACCAAAACGAAAGTAGCTATTAAAAAAATTTCCCCGTTCGAGCATCAAACGTATAGCCAGAGGACCTTAAGGGAAATAAAAATCCTCACGAGGTTTAAGCACGAGAACGTAAGTCTGGACCCTAGCAACAGTTTGCGCGTGGCATATATGACGTTTTTTTATTCAGTATCGTTATTAATATATCGTTTTCTCTCACGACAGATAATAGATATAAGGGATATATTAAGAGCGTCGACTATGGAGCAAATGAAAGACGTGTATATCGTTCAATGTCTGATGGAAACTGATCTCTATAAATTATTGAGGACACAAGTGAGTACATTCGCATGCATTCTACAAACCTGTGCGAGACGCTAAAGAGGGGAGGGGAGGGAGACAAGAAGGAAACGAATGCAGATTTGATGAAACGCCCGAATAATTGTTGCTTCCAGGCTATTAGTAACGATCACATATGTTATTTTCTGTACCAAATATTGCGGGGGCTGAAGTATATACACTCGGCGAACGTGTTACATAGAGACCTGAAGCCGAGTAATCTGCTGTTGAATACCACCTGTGACCTTAAGATCTGCGATTTCGGTCTGGCGAGAGTCGCGGACCCAGAGCACAATCACGCGGGCTTCCTCACGGAATACGTGGCCACTAGGTGGTACAGAGCTCCGGAGATCATGCTTAATTCTAAGGTACTCGTCACGCGCGAGCGAGAGCACTTTTCGAGGAACAAGGAGGCGTCTCGCGCGTCCACGTGACACTAATGTGGCTCTCTTTACGCAGGGCTATACCAAATCCATAGACATTTGGTCAGTGGGCTGCATTCTGGCAGAGATGCTCTCGAGACGAGCGATATTTCCCGGCAAGCATTACCTCGACCAGTTGAATCACATTCTCGGTGTTCTCGGATCGCCCTCGCCGGAGGACCTCGAGTGCATCATAAACGAGAAAGTACTGGACGCTTACCTCTTTGCATTTTGCTAGAATCTGACCCAGGAATGCATGTGCATTTTGTAGTTTGCACGCTCGACGGCTCGACGCTTCGCGGCTGTAACACGATGATATTAAAACTCTTCTGATTGCAGGCACGGAATTATCTTCAGTCGTTACCGTATAAGCCAAAGGTACCGTGGACAAGTCTCTTTCCCAATGCCGATCCGAGAGCTTTGGATCTCCTAGACAAAATGTTAACGTTCAATCCGAATAAACGCATTGTGGTGGAAGATGCGTTGGCACATCCTTACCTGGAGCAATATTACGACCCTGCCGACGAGGTAAGCTTCCGTTTCTCTGTATATAGAATCGCGATTACAGACAACAATCCGAACTCGTGAATTTTTCAGCCCGTGGCAGAGGAGCCGTTTAGATTTGACATGGAGTTGGATGATCTTCCGAAAGAAGTATTAAAACAATATATTTTCGAAGAGACTCTATTGTTCCAGCAAAATCATCAAGATAACGCTATGTAGTCGACTGGTAATCGTTAAACTCGTCTTGCGCCGTATCGCCGGTATCTCCTGATCCGCTGACAATCGAATGCTACTTTCCTTTCTTTTCGTCAGGCATGCCGTTGCCAGAATCGCAATAGCGGATACGCGCGATGAATTGAAGAAAAAAGAAAGAGAATAGGAACGGAACCGAAAGCAAGCAATAGCGGGATTGGTATGAAGGGAGCTGTGCTTTTATCAATCATCGCCACTCTTCATCGCCGCTCGAATTACCGACGATACAAAGATACTAGGATATCGATGAGAGATTCAGTCGATCAACGAACGATTAACTGTGCCGATTAGTCGGACGAGTGAAACAGTGTCCGCGCATACGCTTGTATGTACATTCGCATGTCATGTCCTTACTTGGAGAAAGAAAATATAGTATTTCTTATGTTATATCGAACATAGCATAATATCCAATTGGATACAACATATGTATCTCGAATTTATCATCGTCGTACCATATCGTACCATACTGTCTGTCTGTGATTTAATTGCGAGCGTGACGAGGCGTAACGCGCGACGTACTTTGTCTTCATTTCGTCGTCCTGTCTCCTGAATTGTTTCTTTCACCTCCCGAAAACGAAATGGTTGAAATTACAACGCGTAATTGTACAGCGGAACTAGGGCAATATACACTCAGCTTATCGCGCCTCGGTGGTTCCCGATGTCGGAAATGATCGTGGACACCGGGAATACCGAGGTACGCTAAACGTTCACTCTACGAGATTCGAACACTTGTAGCGTATTCGTGTAATTCATTTCGTATCGTATCGTATGATATTTTCCGGCTCGTGTGTGTATACGTATGACTGTGTGCGTACCTACGTACGTGTGTGGCAGAATTTCTCGTTTTGGTATTTAATCCGTTCCCACGACAGCGAATGCGCGACGTGCAAGCGCTCTAATCGGCGCGATCCACGAGAATAATAGTGTTAATAATTTATGTTAAGAAAAAGAGAATCGTGATCTTCTTTTTGAGCGTGTGATAGTAACGATCGTGCCCGAGTCATGAGAGTCAAGGTGACAATTTGAATAATATGTAGACGAAGGTCCCAAGTTAGTATTTCGGAGATTTTACAAATGTTATACATCGTACGGAACCTCATTGCTCTTAGAGCTCCTTCCGAAATCGATATCGCAATCCAAAATCTATCTACGATAAAGTCAATTTGAATCGCTAGAAATCGAATTCGCTAATATCGATATAGCTCCATTCGGCCTTACTGTGAATATATTTAGAGACAACTTTCTCAATCCTGTCCCCACAAGCAAACTAGGTTGTGAGAGACGAGGCGAAAATTTAAAGGGAAAAAATAGACGGTGAAAGAAAAAAAAAGACACTAAAACAGGGACAAAGTAATTACTTCCTCTAATTAACTGTTACCGACCTTCACGTTCTTCGATACATCTAATAAATTAATAATTAAAGAAAAATTCGTTGTTCGTAAGATTCTTATCTAGATCTAAGATGCATTTCTAGCAATTACGGATTCTCGTTGAGGGCGATTCGCGCTGATGTTCCTCGCCGCCTTCTCGAAAGGCGCGGGGGGCGTAACAGCGAGTAATGTTTTGTCGTTACCATATAATGTCATGATTTCAATCGCCGTCAATTTTACGCATATTTATCTTCCTTCAATGTTTATCCGTTACGCGCATTCGTTTGGTGCATTGTCGTGGACGAAATAGTTGAAGAATCTCTCGCGGTTTACAGTTTTCTAAGCGCGCTTGCGAGCCTCGATTACACGGCAAGCAGTTCAATTATTTCACGACACAATCCGCGGGCGTAATCAAACGAAAATATCCAGTGATGAAAAAATTCTCCGTAACGACAGACTCTAAGATCACACCGTGCTAAATGATCCCAGGGACGACAGATTCGAATGCTTTTACGTTGTACGTGTACGACATGGTTTTACCAACGTCGCTTAACTTTAATTTTGGTTTAATTCATTGGTTGTCTCTTTCTAAGAATATAATTTGAAAGAGACAGGATGAAATAAGCTAAGCTTAAAGATAAGCGACGCTGATCAAACCGGATCTAACTCGAAAGTAAAACAAATGTATATGTATTTTTCTTCGATCGCAATCCACGGACGGATCGTGGGTTCTCTGCTGTTACACGAATACTCCACGTGCGAGTACAAAGAACTACTTCCAATATATATATATGTATCGCGCTTCTATTTCTTTACACGATTCTCTTCCCGCGGCAGAATTGAAAATTTAAATCGAAGTGTCATGTAATGAATCTCGCGACAGAGATTTCTAAAAAAACGATGGGTGTGATTTTCCCTTATGGACTTGACTCGTCCCGAGTCAACACGGAGAATCGGTGTATCAGTTCGCGATAATACGTCAGAATGTAACACATATTGTGCTATTCTTCGGTAAACACCAACCAACAGTTACACAACACAACATATTATTAATTTCTCACTCAACAATGTAACTGTTATGTACAGCATGTATTATATTACATTTATGTTGTTAAGTGGGACATTGTAATATTGTAATATTGATCAGGGATAGGAAAGTTGCTTTTATAAAGTAACTAGTTACCGAGTAAAAAAGTGTAACTCGTTACCGTTATAGTTACTAATTTTCAAAAGTAACTCGTTCCAAAGTAAAATCGTTACCGTTACTTAAAAAATAACGATTCGTTACTCTTTTAATCCTGAAACGAGATCAGACAAGCTTAAACGTCTACTTCTGTAACAGGTTTTTTACTAACAACGATATTAATAAAACAATTTTTCATTTTAAAGTTGTAAAATCATGAAAAATTTAAGGAGACAAATTTTAAACCGCTCAAAGTTTGTTGTTGTACTTTCCAGTTTTCGTACAAATTTTTAACGCGATAATTTTAACTTATCTTAAATATAACAAGCCGTGATAACAATAGATTATGAATATCGATCGATGCCTGAAGATAAATGTAAGAAAATATAGTTCTATTTTATAACCAGGTTCGAAATATAAAAAGTAACGTCGTTACCAGTCCGTTACCAAAGAAAGTAACTTGTAACTGTAACGGCGTTTTACAAGTAACGCGTTACTTCCATACCCTGATAGTGATGTTATGTAATTGTTAGCCGATGTTTACTGGGTCTTCCACTGTAGAAACAGTTCAATCACGCTGGCTCTGAGGACGGAGATCTTCCGCGACTTTACGTCACTACCGGACAGAATTAAATAAGGTCCCTTTGAAGGGCGCTCTCATCCGGGACCTTTTAAAAGGTCCTTTACACCGTGCAGATCGCGGGGAAGCGGCAATGAAATCGCGCGCTCAGCGAAATTGTAAGCCGACGAGATTCGAAATCGAAGCTCTCCGCTGTCGATGATAATCGTGTCCGCACAGTACGTACAGATTGTGATACCGAGTGTGACGAGGAGAGATATAATTTGGGGAAAATGCCGAGACTGCGAACGTGGAACGTTGCGCGTAATATATCGATGGAACATTGTCGATATCATCTGGCCTAATATACTTAAAGTTATGTATGTGTACTTGTTGTTGTTGCCGTTTCTTATATATCCGGGACCTCTCGCGGGACATCTCGTCTGTCGATCTTCGATGTTACCTCGACGGCTGTATCATTGAACTTGTAATGAAGATTAAAAGTAAAAAAAAAACAAAGAGGCAACGGAGCGAGAAGGCGGATCTACCGTGCCGTTTCCTCGACAAGTAGAACGACAAGTAGTTAGTCCTCGAGTTAACGAGCGGTTGACTAAATCATTAGCGTTTTTACGTAGGGTAGAAGTGAAGGAGGGAGAAGGGAAAGCCTTTCGCGCAAGAGAAAGGGCCGTCTCTTTAACGGCGGGCAGGATCTCGGCGTTTTTTCATGCAGATATGTACGCACGGGGAGGACCCGTCGCGGGAGGACGTATTCGTATCATCGCAATCGGTGCCGCTTTGAAACAACTTGGGGCGCGAAGAATCTGTAGAGCTGCGATTCGATTGAGTGGCCCGCCCCTCTTAGCTTTTTAATTAAACAAAAGGCCCAGCATTCACGTCCCCCGAGATTGTTTCTGTCCCTCGGTTCCCTGTCGTTTCCGGCTTCGCTCCTCTGCGCGATCATGTCGATTGTCTGATCCCAACGGCAATATCGCGAGAGATATCGTTCTTGTCCGTTTCAATTGTGTCGCTGTGAATCAATTGATAGTTTTTCTGTCGCCGAAGCTGCATTCATAGCGTTTCACACCGGACTGTAAATAACACATGTAGATTATTAGCAAATCATAGCGTTGAGATTGTAATACTTTTTAATCACGGTGGAGTGTTCTCCGCTGCGTTGGAGGGTCGATCGCGTCAATCGGCTAAATTTGCACTGCGATTTTCGGGAAAATTTTATTAAAAGAAAAGCGACGCTCTCGCAAGCGTAAAGTACAATTAAATGAGGTAATCAGGGAGTCAAAATTGAGGCATTTGATACGTAGACTTTAACGCCGCTTATTATGAACGTAATCTTACGCCCGACGTACAAGTTATCGCGCAGGCGAGAATGATCGAATGATATGCGGTTAAAATTAAAATGTGATTTTAAACGCGTCGTTTATTCGACAAATACGCAGTACGATCGCGAGTACCGATGTCAAAGAATGCAGCTTAAGATTAAACAGTTGCAAAAGTGGCGAATGAACCGTTTCGAAGTTCACTGTCGAGTACAATCGCTTCGATTTGCGCGAATTATATTTTCAAAAATATGTAACTGAACGGGAAAAATTATGAAACAATAAGAAAGTCTAAGTCAAGAAGATTATAAAAACCTAAGAACCTATGAATGTAGCTAAGCAGCTATTTGAGAAATAAATGTATTTACTGTGTTCTCTCTTTCTCTATGATTTTTTATTACCTCGACTCGATTGCTGTTCTAAATGATTGTCACACGTGACGTATCGTTATTCATGTTAATTAAATTATCATCGTCGACTGTTGTATTTTACATAGCTATTCCAACTATTATTGTGCTAATATAAAAGGCTTTATTGGCTAATTACTCGCTTTGTCATGTTATTCGTCCCTGCAAATTTTGAAAGCAACACTGTTCGTTAGTTTTGATTTTAGTTTATGTCACGTTAGAAGGTAACAAAATAAAAGTCGACACGCTTTTCGCATAGGTCACATTTTATTATATCGCGTTACCTAGTAGAATTTGTCGCCTGTAAAATTGAACGATAAAAGAACGTTTCGGAGAAATGACGGAACTGTAATACGGCATACAGATTATCATTTATTTCTTTTGTCACTTGTCTCCTTCTAGCTGTGACATGGAGTATTATCCTGGATCAATAGAGATGCCTTTACAAAATATCTCAAGTCGTCATTCTGAGATCTTACGAAACTATACTTTTATCTGACATTCTTCGTGCAAAAGGTACATGTTTTACATGTACTTCAGAGAACATAAAACAAATCTCTCTTCGAAATTTTTCTTTTTCCATAATTGCACAAATATCTCAGTCAAATTTAGTTTACCCGCTTCCCTCTCTGCCTACAGAAATATACATAAACTCGTAGATATACGATCTGTGTCACATTTACACGGGACATTATCGGAGGCATTCGTTATCTGTCTGATAAAAACAATAATGATACTATTGGAAGATCGATCATTAACGTAGAGTACGAAATACAATTTTTTATATATACTGATATTTTCCTCCCCTCATGATACATTCATATGGTACACATATGCGTCAAGCAATCGCAATTTTTCCAATGATGAAAAAAGAAAAACTTCATTAGGTTCGTAAGGTATGTAAATCTAAATATATCCCATATGTAATTTACAACTATTCCACCGTAACTGTTATAAAGTATTACGAAAGTCTTAAAATTATACATCTGAATAATGAGCGCGCTCTTTTTACAGGTCTCGAACTTTCGAATAATTAATTCATACAGAGATCACTCTCCGTCACTATCGTCTCTTGTGTATTTATCGTTTTTCACTTCTATTCTCAATGGAGAACGTCCTCTAGTATGATTTCCGATGCGCGATCGTAGATCACCGCTTTTCAGGGTACTCCTCAAGTCGCGGCTGCCCACAGACCTTTAATATAATACAACTCGTAAGCTTGTAAATGTATACATCAGAATACTTGGTCATATAGTAAGAAATTACATATGCATAGGCTTAAAAAGAACTCGCATTTTTGCAAAAATTCCGAAAGACACATATTAAAAGCAAAAATTAATGTGTAAATCACAATGTTTATCATACAAAAAATATCACGCGTATTCTGCAATATACATCTACACTTTATTTTAACAAAGTCGCAAGATTAAGAATTATAGAATATTTTTAAAAATCTGTCAAGATTTCTGTATGAAAAATTTCTCGAAAATATTGAAAGATGTGCCATTTATATATTCAGTAGTGACATTAAATTATTTTCTCACCTCTTTTTCAAATAGCTGTCACTGGCTTCGCTTTTCACATGATTCAATCTCGCCCACACAGTGGAAGCAATGCGTCGCTTGGGCGGGACTACCTTTATCACGCTTCCTTTAGGACCCTGAATCTCCTTAGCAGGCACGTCACTGTCCTCTTCGTCACTATCCTCGTCGTCCTCCTTGTGCTCCCCTTCCTCCTCCTCCTCCTCCTCCTCCTCATTCTCCTCATCTTCACCTTCTTCTCGTTCTTCCTCCGCATTCATCAGATCGTGCTGGAGATGTCTCTGCTCTTCCTTGTCTCCCTCCTCCTCATGACCGTCCTCGGCTTCAGACTCCTGCCACTCCCCCTCTTCTCTCTCCGATGACTGTACTTCTTGCACGACCTGATGGCCCTGCTGCCGAATTACCCCGGAATTGTCGCGTTTCGAACTTGTCACGTTCGTATTCGTGACCACTACTTGAATGGGATCATGGTACTGCGTTTTCGTTTTTGACCTTCCCAACTTTGATCGCAAGTCACCGCTGCTATTCAAGTTATTCAGAATCGTCTGAGGGGGGGGGGGGGAAGAGTGAATATAATGCACGAAACGAGTTAAAAAAACAGCATTCAAACAGCAAAAATATAAAAACAACTAACTTGGAACCGAAGCTTCGCTCGACGCTTCTGTACTTTTTCCTCCTCGTCGTCGGCATGCATCCGCATGCGGGGAATCTTACTCCGTTTACACCAATCATCGTCGCTGTCGCTACTCGAACTGGCGTCACTCGACTTCTCCGTCGGAACCGCATCCTTTTCCACGTATTTGAGACCCAATCTTTCCTTTATGTTACGTCCTTGGTCTCGAGCGCCGTTCCTCGGGAGAAAATCGTCCTCCACGACATCATTCATGCCCCACGTCTCGGACAACGCACCCCACGGATTCTTTGACTGGTCCTGATCCTTGTCCTCGCTCAATGAATTGCGCTTCTGTTTCGTCTGCTTGTATACACGCTTACGAGATTCCGTTAGAATTCCCTTGAGACCTAGACATCAACACAGGAAGCTGTATTATCGTCTGTTCTCGTCACTCTCGATTTGATTTTTGTTAGAAAATCGCGTTTACCTCCGAAGTTGGGATTCCCATACTTCTTGTAATATTCGCTTCTCTTCTCCGCATTGACCTGCTTTTTATCCGCCCTGGTGGCAAATCTCAAGAAGATTCCTTTAGACTTGGGATAATCGATACCTTTCCTCCATATACCAGGGGGTAGCGGACAGTCGATATCTTTAATGCTTATGCAATTCTCGTTTCTTCCATCCTTGTTCGTATCGACAGACTCATTTTCTTCATCCGCTTTCGCCACGTCCTCTTTTCTGTTCTCGGAATCATTGTTCTCTCGATCTGAATATTTTGCAACATTACCGACAATTCTTTTTGATAATCCCAGCACAGCTCTGGCTGCCGTTAGATTGTCAAACCAGACCACATTGCCTATAATATCACAAACTATGTGTCAGAACGTCAGCAACAAATGACGTATTATTGCTTCAATTAAAATCAAGCTTTAAAACGTACATGATATGTCGTTGATCCACTCAATCGACATCGGAGCATAATCTTGGAAATATTTGAATACATCTTTAGTGCTCATATCCTCGGTTCCTCTCATGTGAATTACATTCAACCTGATGTTCTTTGTATTCTCACCGTCGTCCACAATACCCATGCTGCAGTTGTACCAATCACAACGTCAAGTCACAGCAGCATTTCTTATGAAATCACTTTAACGAATTAATCAAGTATACCTGCTGTATAGATCCTCCTCTGGCTCTGCCAATTCTTTGCATTTTTCCGTCAAGCCAAAACGCTTTGCTCGCTCCTCCATCTTCAATTTTTCCTCCTTGCTGAATATATCTATACCTGTTGTAAATGTGTCCACGGATCTCTCGGGAATACCAAATGTCTGCAACTATACAAATTAGGGTAAGGAATTAAACTTGAAGTATGTTTTATTAACTATATATATATATTAATTAACATCTTATTTTTGTTACCCGTGGTTCTGGTTCTAATGTTGCCTTGGTCCTCTCTATTTCTGAGATAGGCACCATCTCAACGTCCGAAGGTTCGTCGTACTCGACCTCCATTGCGACACAAATGCGTTAGACACTCAAATATCGCTAGGAAAAGTCGGAGGATATCGCGACTTTTATAGACGACCTGATCGTTTTGTGAACTACGGCTTTCAGCATACAACCGCGGTAACAAGTTTACGGTTTACAAATAAAACTTTAACCATAGCGGCAGACATTTGCTCGTTACAGCTGTGTCAAGCTGTGTGGTGCTGCAGAACCATAGATTTTATACAGATAGACCGCGCAACTCGTGAGCGGTTTTGAAGATGGCCATGGACGTAGGAAATATCTGAACGGAGCGTAAAGTATCCTAAAGCCTATCACACAATGCCAGGCAACAGGCAACAGGAACAGGGAATAGAATTTCTGACGTGTTGGATTGGTTGAACGAAAATTTCCGACGAATCCAACGCGTCAAAAATTCTATTCCCTATTCCTATTGCCTGTTGCCTGGTATTGTGTGATAAGCCTATCACAAATGTAATAATACCCTAACGCGTAAATACTTTTATACGTTGGAGCAAGTAATTACATTATAATGTAATTACTGTTCGTCAACACTGCGAATTTTTCTATGTCACACTTTGCACTAACACACGTACAAAAATCCTGTGATTGGTTATAATAAAAACATGTCGGATGCGCAGTACGGATCGGCGCGAACGTGAAACAAAAGCACAGTA